GAAAGGAGGCAAAGTGCCCTGACCGAGTGGCTCAGCTGGTCGGAGCATCGTCCTGTACCCTAAAAGGTGCAGGTTGGATCCCCAGTCAGGGGACATGCCTACGTTGTGGACCTGACCCCTTAGTCAGGGTGTGTACAGAGGCAACCAACTGATGCTTCCATATATATCATATATATATGAGTATATATATATATACACACACACATATATATGATATATATACACATATATATGATATATATATATATATATATATATATATACATATATCCCTTCTTCCCTCTCAAAAATCAACAAATAAAAGGGAGAAATGGCAAGGCTCAGGGAGCAGAATAGGGGGAAAAATGGAAAAGTGAAAAGAGGGGAGAAGAAGCCCCCAGATGGACAAAAGGCTCCAATGGAGAGGCTGTAAAGGACACTTTGTCCAGAGAGGCCAGAAGCAGAATGGCCCGATCTGGTGGTGACGTGTGTCCGCCCTCCACACCCTCACTTGGCTGGCTCTTCTCTCTCTTCCGCAGCCAGTTCTGGGGCCTCCCACTCAGCAGCGCGGCGCAGAGGTACAGCTCAGGCCTCTGACATATTTCTGGACTCACATCTGACTTTGAAAGGAAAGGAAGGTTCTGGTAAAGGAGAAGGCCCAAGCATTAGGGCCATCGAGGCCATACTGGGGCCAGCCAAGGGGCAGTTTATACTTTGGAGCCTTTAATAATGAAATCTGCATTAATCGATCCCAGTAACTCAGAATCCGTGAGCTGTGACGTGGGCATCACTAAGGTTGCTTTTCCACTGTCCATAAAAGGAAAGGTTTCTTAAACGAGGCAATTATATTGACTGCTTGGGGCCTCTCCAGGCAAGTAAAGAGAGTATCGGCTACTGTGTGTTTTGTGTGCCTCTGCAGAGGGTGCTGCTAAGCGCACATGAACCTGCATCAAAGCGCGTTCTGCAGACTCCGCTCTGAAGCCTGGGTTCCCACGAGGAAGTAATGGTAGGAAGACCTCCCCTTCCCTCAGCCCAGGAGTCAGGCTGTGGATTCCCTCCGCCCTCAGGCTTGGGTGGGAGGATGTGAAGGCTGGGAAATGAGAAAGTCCCCGGACAAGGTTCAGGCATGTCCAGATTTTTGAATAGCAGGGAATCCAACTCCATCCGTCACAGTGCCCCAGGCAGGGAGGAGCCAAGCTGGGGTACAAGGGCAGTGATGCCACCTGTTCTGTAGGACTGGCTGGGCTTGGACAGTGGGAATGTCCATGGGGATAACGGGCTCTGGGGATCACAGCGCTCTCCCGGAACTTCTGTCTCGTTTCAGCCCTGCTTGTTCGGGATTTACTGTTACTTGCGGCTCAACCTAATCTCAGTGAATTCCCTCCTTCCTGGGTTGAATATCAGATCCGGAGGAACCTGACCACTGAACCACCTAAAAGCCATCCTTCCCCAAAGCAGAGATTACGGCCCATTTCAAAACCCAACGAAGGCCATGGAGACTGATCCAGAAAGATGCACACATGAGACTATGCTCCGCCCACACCTCAATATTCTTCCTGAGGTCTAGGCCTGGATGACCCAGAAGAAAACCTTGACAAGACAGATGCAGTTACCAAAGCACCCACCTCCAACTCAAGCGGTGTCAGGCAGGCCCTGCTCTCACTGGGGGTCAGCAGAGGGCAGGGAACAGGGTCTCTGCTACCCCCACCCCACCTGCTTTGTTGTCACAACACTTGCTCTTGAGCTGTTGCTCATTGTTTGAGCCGCAGGCATTGGGCAAAGTGCTGGGGCCACAGTGAGCCACCGGGGAGATCAGAGCTAACTGGACAGAAGGCAGGTGAGCAGGGCAGCACGATGGGTTTAATATTAAAGGTATCGACAAAGGCTAGAGGAGTGGGAGAGAAAACAACAAATTCCACTGCATGGAGGAAGCCACATCTGAGTTTTGCCAGTTGGTAAAAAGGGAGTAGTTCATACAAGAAACCGTGTCACAGAAGTCAGGGTTGCCCTTGGCATGTTTGGGGGACAGAGGGCATACACACCAGTGCCCTGGACAGAGTGGTGGGTGATGGGAGGGTCTGGAGAGGAGCCTATGAAGTGGGCCGTGTGCAGCCACACGGGGCCTCGAATGCATTCTGAGGATTCTGACTCTGCTGCGGGCAACAGAGAGCCAGAGAATGACGTGATCAGATCTGTCTGGCAGTGACAAGAAGGAACGGAGGACGGGGGGTGGGAGACTGGAGTCTGGGAGCCCTTGGGCAGTGACTGGGGGTCAGGCGCAGTCTTTGACCTGGTCAGTGGATACGATGCCTTGGCAAACAGCACCTGCAGTCACCGGAGCCAGCGGTTCCCACAGCGGAGCCCTTGCATCTCCTCCGGCCTCTCAGAGCAGGCAAAGCTGCCCGCCTGTTTTTTCAGGTGCACTGTGCTTCCTCCCCCCACCCTCTACCCGGCCTCTCTATCTCCCAGTCTGGCTCTAAAACAGCCTTTCATTCCAGAATCACAGAGGAGCCTCAGATGCAGACACTCCCAGGGGACCCGACTTCCTCTAATTCACCCTCGTTCAACAGCTGGATCCCACAGACGTTTCCTGAGACTCTGCCATGCCCAGTGTGAGGAAGACACAGACAAAACCGGCCGGACCTGGCCCCGGTGGTTCAGTGATGCACAGGGAGGCGGGAGTGCGGATCGGCCCAGGGTGTGCGCACAGGAGGGTGTGTGCACAGGAGGAAAGGATTCGCCTCTCTGGGTGGAGTGCAAATGGGTCAGACTTAGTCTCGATGGTGGACCCTGAGGTTTAAAACCTCCCGGAAGATCCGGTTTTCGGTTCTCCCTTTCCTGTGTGACCATAAGCAAATCACTCGACCTCTCTGAACCTCTGCCCTCATTTAGAGAAGAAGGAAGTAGAGTAGCCTTCCTTTATCTGCAGGGTGCAGGTCCCAGGACCCCCAGTGGGTGCCTGAAACCAAAAATAGTACACTGCCCCGTACACACTGTAGTTTCCTATACATACGCGCCTGCGGTGGAGTTTCATTTGTAAATCAGGCACAGGAAGAGATGAACAACAGTAACTGATAATAAAATAGAAGAATTATAACAGTACACTATACAAAAGTTATGTGACTGTCTTATTGTCCTGCACTCCCCCTTCTTCTTGGGATGGTGGGAGGGGACACAATGCCCGGGTGACGGGATGAGGGGCACAGGTGTCACTGCCACGTAGCACCAGGCTGCCGCTCACCTTCTGATGAGACGGCTACAGACTGACGGGCAGGGGGTGCGGACAGAGGGACGACGCCCATTCCTGGGCAGGACGGAGCGGGACGGCGAGAGATTTCATCAAGCTCCTCAGAGGGACGGCGTGCAATTTAAAACTTAGGAGTTGTACATTTCTGGAATTTTCCATTTAATATTTCTGAACCTCAGTTGACTATGGGTAACTGAAACCACAAAAAGCGAAGCCACAGATATGGGGGGGCTGCTGTACCCCCACCCACATCGTTGGGAGGACGACTGGCAGCTGTCCTGTGGGGAGGTCCACAAGGCAGGACCCGAGTGGGGCGCTGCCTTCTGCCAACAGCGTCGTGAGAGCTCTTGGAGATGTATTTCCCCCCAACAACTGTTGCCCCAACTGCAACCCCAGCAAACCCCTGAAGAGCAGTCTGGGAACAGCTCTGAACCAGAGGACCCAGGAGCTTGGCTTCCCATCCCACAGAAACTCTGAGGTCGTGTGTTTGTTGTTTTCAGCCACCAAGTTTCAGGGTGATTCGTTATGCAGTAGTCGCTCACTAACACAATGGGGCTGACACTGAGACGTCCAGCTTAGGACCTGCGTCAGGCAGGTGGAGCGATGCCGAGAGGGGCCCAGGGGCGGGTCTGGCAGGTCCTTGCTGAGCCCCTTGTGAGAGCGCTGGGAGTTCTGGAAGGGGGTCTGGGGAGGGGCAGGTGAGGTGGTGGGAATTCATCCTACAGAAAGCTCTCACACCGGGCACGAGAGGACCTGCCTGCAAGGACACTCACTGCGGCCTCATGTGTTGTAGCAAACTATGGGAAACAGCTGAAAAGCTTACGCCCCAGGGACTGGTAAAATCAGAGGCGTCCATGCAATGGGCTGTCACTCAGCCATGAGAAAGAAGGAGGTATGTGCCGCTCCAAGTGGCGGGTGGGACGCGCTTGGCTCTGGGAAACCACAGCATCATACGCTCTCATCTGTGTGCAGTGCACTGTGCTTTGCCATGTAGGATGCGTTTTGAGCCCAAACTTCCAGGAAAAAATCCTTTTGTTTTAATTTTTTAATTCAATTATTTATTTATTTGTATTTAGATACTTGTTTTTTGTATTATAAAGGAATTTTAGCACTTATTTTTGAACATACAGATATCACTATTGCTTTCTAGAGTTACGCTTTTAACACATAAGTGTAAATAGATTTAAAAACACATAGATATGGAATTAGTACTGCCTATGTACAATGCGCATCCTTATTTTTCCCTAAAAAATTTGGGCAAAATGTATGCATTATAAGCAGCAAATATGGTATGTACATAAACTTACCTGCAGGCTTGTAGCTGCAGAAAAAACCTGCCAGCCTGGTTGCTCAGAAAGGGGAACTGAGGCAGGGGCGGGGCAGGGATGGGAGAGAAACCTGCTTTTCCCGTCTCCTGCAGCCCCCCATGAGATGCCGTCCCCCACGTCACCTGGCGTGGGAGGCAGTTATGACTGTGCCCTAGGAGGACGCGTAAACCCTCACTTGGTGTCTGGAGATTTTCTAAGCTGGGGGTGGCTGAGGGGAAGACCTCGGCTCGCCTGCCCATCGACAGCCAGAGCAGCGCCTCCCGCTGGAAATTTCACAGGATAAAATGGTTCCCCGCTTTAAGGAAGAGAAGGTGGACCTTGATTGGCCTCCTTTCTTTCCTTATTCCCCGCTGTCCATCCACACCCCCTCACCACTGCCCCCGCCCCCTGGAGCCTGAGCTGAGTCCAGCCCAGCCTGGGTCTCTGCCGAATCCCTGGGGACTCACCTGGCACGTCTGGGGACGTGTTGACAGTCATGAAGGCGTCCGACAGGCCTGTTTTGACGGGATGCTGGGAGGAGCTGATCTCCAGGACGGACATAGGGATCTGCAGCAGGGAGGAGAGGCTCCGTCTGACCCCCAAACGCTCTAGGGCCAGCCTAGACTCCCCCTCTGCGCTCCAGGCCCACCTGCCTGCTTGGCACTGCCTCTCGGAGGATGTGAAGACATCCCCCAGCCAAGGGACCCCGTTCAAATTTCAAGTCTGGCCCACACCACCTTCAAGCACATTTCCATGTTCTATGCTCCGTCTTCGTGAATGGCACCTCCATGCAGGCCAGAGGTGTCAAAGTCAGCCAGCCCCTCCCTTTTCTTCATTTCCGCCTCCTCCATCTAATACATCTCTAAATCCTGTCCATTAACCAGCTAACTGGCTCTCAAATCTGTCCAGCTCTCTCCATCGACCCCTAGACTAGACTCCAGGCCGGCAACACCTCTCTCTTCGTTCATCTCCCAGCATTCCCTCTGAGCCACTAACAATCTGTTCTCTACTCTGAAGTCAGAGTGACCTCTGTCAAAAGCAAATCTGGTGCCCCACTCCCCGACCCCGACTTGCCCCTCACGATTACCCCTCCAGCCATGCTGACTTCTTTGCGTGCTTTGCACCACCCACGGTCTATCCCGACACAGGACCTTTGCATATGCTTTTCTCTCTCCTGGAACATACTCCATTCTCCTCTTTGCTTCCTTAACTCCTATGCCTCCTGCAAACATTACCTCTTCTCCTTAGGGAAGCCTCTCCTGACCCCTTACTGAGGTAGACAGCCCCGTGACAGCCTCTGGTGACACAAGGCACCTCTACTTAGGAGCACTTTTTACAGTGGCGATTCTGCACTTGTCTCTGCAATTACTGTCTGTTGTCTCAACCAGACTTAATCTCTGCAAAGGCAGGTCCCACAGCCACCTTAGTAACTGCTGTGTCCCCAGCACCAAGCCCTATGCCAGGCACATTTCCAGTTCTCTGCAAATATTTGCTGAATGGAAAAACAAGGGGCCACAAGCCCCAGCCACCTCTGAAGGTGGGCTCTCTCACCTCTTTGTAGCCAAATACAATGCGGCCGTCGCGGTGCAGGGCTGCCTGGAAGGTGAAGCTGCCCCTGTCCTCCCGGCCTTGGAGGTAGACACGGTCCCACTGGACGACAAAGACTGTCCCTGTGGAGAACAGCAGAGACCTGGCTGGATGGGGAGGGAGTTCAGGGAGCAGGGTGTTGCAGAAACAGTGGCCAAAGCAGACTGGCCCCAGGTCAGGCCTCTTAGGGACAATGGAGGCAGTTTGCACATTTGACTGAAGGCAGGAGCTGGGTAAGCCACCAACCAGCCTGGCCAACAGGCTGGAGAGGAACCGGAAGACCCCACTTCAGCCCCCACACACCATGCTCAAGCCGCTCTTACTCCAAGTGTGCTCCTTCCTTCCTGCCCATCCCGACCGACATGAGATAAAAAGGAGGAGAAATAGCAGAAATGCCCCTTCTCCTGGGATGGGAGGTTGGGTGTTCAGGGACAAGCTGGTCTGAGTAAGAAACAGTAAAGGTCCCTAGTGTTTATTTCACCTCTACTAAGAGCCAAGCCCTTTATTTCGTCATCACGTCACATCCCGCCAGGCAGCAGGCGTCTCGTCACCATCTTGCCGAGGAGGAAACAATGCAGAATGGTGGGGCGGCTGCCTTACTGTGTGACTCTGGCAGGTCCCTTGCCCTCTCTGGACCCTGCTTTCCTCTAAAGGGGCTGGGCCGGGGGAATCCTAGTACTAGGTGACTTAGATTCCGAGATCTGGTCTCACCGTTGTCAAAGTAAGCAACTGTGGAATTTTCGGAGTAGCCGGGGTTGAAATTGGCCATCAGAGGGGCCACGTACTGAGTCGCTGTGAGCATCCGGTGGGTCACGTCACCAGTAAAGATGAAGCCTGGGGTGGGGAGAAGTGCAGAGGAATCACCAGAGAAGGCCCAGAAGGGCTGTTCCCTTATGTTCCCCCAACAAGGACAGGAAGGAGCCGTGCAGACAGAGCTAAAAGCAAGCCTTGAACGTCTGTTCTCTACACCCAACTGGTAGGCTCAGGCGTGTGTGGAGGAAAGGGGTCCCAGACCAGAGACAGTTCTCCCCACCCCTCTAGGTGGGCACAAAGTCCCTCCTCTCCGTCTCCCTGGGAACGTACACAGGAATCAGAGATGGGCCCCTGTTTCAACAGGGAACCTGGTCCCAGGAACCAAGCTCTCAATGCGCCCTCCCTTTCCCTCTCTGTCAGATGCAGAAACACGGGGACCACAGGACTGGCCTGAGCGGGCCCAGAGGGACACACACACACACACACAGGTGCAAGTCAGCCGTGTGAGGGTGGCATTGGACACCATCAGTGACCTCCCTCCCAACAGGGGGCTCCCAGAACAGTCTCACATGGATGCCTCCCTGGTCCATCTACCCAACCCTATCTCTGGGGAGCCTGTCCCGCCCGGTGGGTCCCCAAGTTCTGGCTGAGAGCTCCAAATCCTCCCCCATCCCTGCTGACCGAACCTTACCTCCGGTTGCTATGGTGATCTGCCGCAGAGGATGCCCGTAGAAAGGGAAATCGAAGGACAAGACCACTCTCTGCGGGGGATGGGACAGAGTCAGTGTGGGCCAGGCTTCAGGCCAGGGGGCTGGACATCTACACTGCTCCACGCTTGTCTGGACAGGGCGGGGGGGCAGGCACGTACAGGGCAGGCTCACAGGTGGGCACCCCAAGTCTGGCCACGCCATCCAGGATCCCCTGGGCGGCACCTCCCAGATCACATGCCACAGGCCATCAGCCACGCCCAGTGACCAGGTTGGGGGTGGGGTGGCTCCCAGCCTCCCAGCCCGGGGCGGCACAGCCGGGAGCGGGGGCACTCACCGAAGCCTGCCGGTGGGTGTTGGAGAGGATTCTGTGGACCTTCAGGTGGCTCCGATTGGCCCCAGCCACGTCCACCCACAGCTCCCGGCTGCGGGGTTCGCTGGGGCCGTACAGACGGGACACATAGTAGCTGTGGTTGTCCTCCTGCCACCGCCCAAGACAGAGCCCACAGGAGGCGTGAGGTGTCGCCAGGCATGCCAGGAACCCTCCTGTACCTCCCCCGCCCAGACCTCTGGATACAAGAAGTCACGGCCCTCCCAGGTAGCTTGGACCTGGGGCCCAGGTGGCTGATTTAGTCCTGGTAGTTCCTGGGCCCCCCTTGGCCCCAAACGGCTCCATACCTGGCCCTTAGCCACGCCCATACAGACCTGTATGGCCCTGGCCACATCCAGACCTGCTGTCTCGATGCTCAGCCCGGCCATTCCCAGAGAGGCCAGAAGGCCCTCCCTGCAGCCCTTGAGTCCCCATGAAGCGCACCAACGTGGAGTGTGGCTTGAGGCACCAAAAAGAAATAGACAGGGCAGCCCCAAGCAGAGCCCTTGTCTTCAGGGTGCTCCCACACTGAGGGGGAGCCCCCCTGCTCTGGGGAGTACCCTTTTTAAGGCAGAAGGAGGAAACTGGATCTTAGCAGCTGACAGTCTAAAGAGGGAAGCAGACCCTTGACCTTGGGGACTGCTGGTCTGGCGGAGGAGGCGGGGCTCACACAAACAGAAAACACAGGCACAGACCCTCAAGCAGGGGGACGGTACAGAGCCCAAACGAAGGTCACTGGAGTGTTTAGAAAGGGGAAGGAGGCAGCAAAGGTTTCTTTAAGATGTATTTCTAACCTCTGCTGTGTGCCCAGTAGGGACAAAATACAGAATGAGCCAGAGCACAGCAGGCAGGCGTTAATTCGGTCAGGCCTGTGCTGCACCGGGGCATCCAGCACCAGGACGGAGAGGAGGCTGTTGGCAGAAAGGGTGGAAGAGCCGGGACAGGAAGCATTGTCACAGCATGTCAGCCCGTGGAGCGGGGGGAGGCAGCCACAGGAGAGACGGCGGCCAAGCAGGCAGCTTCCCTTGGCTGCAGCCTCGGAGACAGAGCTGCTGACCCATGAGAAGCCCTGGCTGCCGTGGGCCATCAATCCGGCTGTCCGGAGGCAGTGGCCGCAGACACGGCAGAGCAGATGGCGCTCTCTCTGCCAGCCGCCCGGCCGCCTGCCCAGCCCTGGCCCCGGGCCCGGCACAAGCGGGCACAGGGTGCCTGCTCTCCCCATCCACCGGGAGGAAGACTCTGCTCTTCCGGCAAGTGACGCACTCTGGGAATCTGGGGTTGGGCACAGCTGGGGGAAGATGAGCCGAAGAAACGCGTGGACGGGGGTAGATGTTGACTGCCATCGCCTGGTTGCACATCCATCAAATAAAACTAAAACACATCTGAGGCCGTACTGCTGGGCTCACAAGCCATGTGGGGTGCCGTTGCCCTTGTGACAAAACCTGAACCTCTCAGCCTGGCACCCAAAGTCCCACCACAATCCAGGCCCACCCTCTCTCCAGCTTCACTTCTCTCTTCTTCTCTCCTTCCCTTGTGCGTCCTTGTGCCCCCACGCACCAGACCGGACGCCTCCGGTGGTCTCACTCCTGCCTTTGGACACGCTGAGCCTCCTTCCCGGAATGACCTTCCTTGCCTCCTCCCCATGGCTGATACCAGCTCCTTCGATGCTCAGCTCACACCTCACCTTGTTATTGACCTTCTCCCCCTACGTGCCCAGTGAGGTCCGCCATCCCTTGCCAATGGCCCCACCTTCCATGGGAGCCCTCAAGAGGTGTGTGTACCATTTGTGAGAGCCACACGAGTGCCCCCATGCTTGATTTCTGATTTTACTCATGAAATCACCTGAAGGGGCCAACCTGATGCCCCCACCCCTGGGGTGAGGACCAGTGCTCAAGTGGAGGATGTTGCCACAGTCACCCGCCCCGGGGTTCTAGAAGGTGTCGGCGGCCAGAGTGCTCAGCCTTCCTCCGAGAAGCAGTGCCTTCCATTTCTGCCTCTCAGCTGATTCCCACGGGGGTCAGATGCCGTGTCTTTCCCTCCTGGGTCCCCAGCCCTTCCACCTCCACCTGTCTCTGCCAGGGATCCTGACCTTGGTCAACAAACAAACAAACGAGCAAACAACCCAAAACATGCCCCCCCCCCCAAAATCACCTGTCAAGAAAGAGAGCTCCAGGCACACTGACTCATGCGAAGAGATACGTACAAAGGTGTCCCCAGCCCGCCTCCTCCGCTTCAAGTGCTGAGTGGTTTTTATCACACCCCAAAGCAAAAAATGGGAGGCCCCCAAATGACACTGTATATCTGATGGTCTGCAGGACCCTAACTCTGACCCCAGCTCAGTTGTGAACACCTTCTGGAGCTACTGCTACAGCTCACCTCTCCTTCCCCTGTGGCTCAAATGTACAAGTGGTTTATTGCCCTGGCCAGTGTGGCTCAGTGGATTGAGCGCTGACCTGCTCCTAGTCAGGGGGCACATGCCTGGGTTGCAGCCCAGGTCGCCAGTTGTGGGCGTGAGAGAGGCAACCACACTTCAATGTTTCTCTTGCACATCGATGTGTCTCTCTCTTTTTTTCTCTCTTGTTTCCCCTCTCTCTAAAAATAAAAATAAATAAAATCTTTAAAAGTAGTTTATTAACTTTTGAGGCTAGAATAAAAGGGGGTTTATTAAAGGGCACAGGTCACCGTACAATTTTGCCTGAAGAAAGGAAAACAAGTTAGATGCGATTGGGGCTATCAGCTGCCCTCCCTTCCCCTGCCACCCACCTGCCCAAACTCTGATCCCCTGACAAGTGGGGACAGGTGAGGTCACCTCTGCACTCATGGCTCGAGGTCCTCGCATCCTCGGAGCTGGAGGAGAGTTCGCTGAGGTGAATGAGGAGGTGACCCAGACCCTCCTTCTTAAAAGAGAAGAAGGAGGGATCGGTGCCTGGCATTGGTTGAAACTTTGGAAATAAACCTGGGCAGCCCTGGCTGGTGTGGCTCAGTGGATTAAGAGCCAGCCTGTGAACCAAAGAAAGGGTCGCCTGTTCTATTCCCAGCGAGGGCACATGCTTGGGTTGCAGGCCAGGTCCCCAGTGGGGGACACATGAGAGGCAACCACACATTGATGTTTCTCTCCCTCTCTATCTCCTTCCTGTCCCCTCGCTCTAAAAATAAATAAATAAAATATTTTAAAAAAAACCTAACAAAGCAGGGCGGCAGATAACAGAAATAGGCGTCGCCGTACTACTGCAGGAGTCAGCTGAACACAGCTCCCCACCAGGAACCTGCGCAGGCCTGTGTTTACAACGGCTGTTTGCAGGCTGGGAGAAGGGCCCTGTTTCCATCGCCTGCGTCCTGGGACTCGCCTGGCGATAGCGTCCACTGAACCTCCACGCGTTGGAAATGGGGGCCCTGGACGGAATCCACGCTCTGCAGTAGTGAAGCCAAACATGCTGACGGGTCTCTTGCTGCCTCACTTCAGAGGCAAAGGGTGGCGTGACCGTGACCGGGGACACGTCTCACCAGCCAGCGCTCGACTCCTTTTTCCCGTGAAAGGAAGCAGTCCACTGCCCCAGCAGGCGCTGCTCCAAGGAGCCGGGCTGGCTGCTGCTGGGGGATCCTTGGACAGACAGAATCACTTAGAGTTCCCAAGGAGCCTTCCGGTGGCACCTCTTCAGTGACGAGAGGTCTTCGTCTGACCCAAGGAGAGTCAGAAACTAAGGGAGCTGCTGCCTCTAGCTCCCAGGCAGAGCTTCTCTCCAATGAGTTAGCAACCCCTGGGAGAGTGAGGGCCTCAACTCACACGGAGCATGCTCAGGCCAGGTGGGCGGGGCCGAGGCTCTGCTTCAGGCCTCGGAAGTGCCAAGTGCAGCCCTGGATGGAGTGGCTCAGTGGATTGACTGCCAGCCTGTGAACCAGAAGGTCATCAGTTTGATTCCCGGTTAGGGCACATGCCTGGGTTGTGGGTCAGGTACCCCACTGGGTATGTGCGAGAGGCAACTGATCAATGTATCTCTCTCACATGGTTGTTTCTCCTCCTCTCTCTCCTTCCCTTTCCCTCTCTCTAAAAAAAATAAATAAAAGCTAAAAAAAAAAAAAAGAAGAGTGCCAAGGGCAGACGGCCAGGGGAAGACACACTGTCTGCCATAAGTCCCACACAGGCCCCGGCAGACCACCTCTCCCCGCACAGGACAGCTTTAATTATCCCCTGGACGGTGGGGCCGGAAGCCACATCTGTTTAGAGCCCTGGTCTGGGGGGGCTCCCTGGTGATGGCTGAGGCAGCCTCGAGAGAAGGGGCCACTTGGAGCTGGGGCCATGCCTGCACAGAGCCCAGGACGCCGTGGGGCGGGGCGGTGCCTGGGAGCGCTGGAGGAGAGAGAAGGGCGGCTGGCGTGGCACGGCTGTGACAGCTGCTCTGGGCGGTTCGGGAGCATTATCGCCACAGTGCAACCTGGGAGGCGAGCACTGACCTCGGCCTCGTTTCATAAGTGGGGAAACTGAGGCCGGCTTATCTACCCGCATCCATGTCGGTCTCGCCGGAAGACGATGCCTTCTCCTCTGTCTACCATTTCTCAGGTCTTCACGTCACTACCTCACTGGAAGGTGACTTGGGCCACCTGCCTACCACTGGTTAAAATCTCTCATATCAGAAAAACCAGCGTGGTCCTTTAGGGAGGCGGTCCCCAACCTTTTTGGCACCGGGGACTGGTTTTGTGGAAGACAATTTTCCCATGGACCGAGGGGTGGGAAGATGGTTTCAGGATGATTGGAGCTCATGACATTCAGGCTCACCTCCTGCTGTGTGGCCTGGTTCCTTACGGGTCCGGATGGGTGCCAGTCCGCAGTCCAGATGTTGGGGAGCTTTAGGGAGCACAGAGCTCAGGTACTGTATCACATTCATCCCCTCACCCCCAGCAGCACCTAGAGCAGGGCTTGGCACCTGGCACACAGCAGGCGTCGGGGGTCAGGGGTCAGGGGTGTGCTTGCTGAATGAGCTCCATCTGCAAGGACCCCACGGCTGCTGGTGCCACAGGCTGTGCAGTGTGGCTCCCACGAGGGTGGCACCCTCCCCCACCGCTGGTGTCAAGTGACACAAAACTGTGTAGTGAGGACCCCGCGGCCTCCACTG